CTGGCTCTACGGCTGAAGGGAGGGCTGGTTTCACTCCGCACCGGCGTCGAGGGGAAGGGCGCGGCGTTGCCCCAATCGGGAAGTTCGGGCGCGCGGGCAGCAAAGGTGTTGAACTCTGCCGGTGGATCGGTCTTCTCTATCCGCTCATCGTTGAACTGCTTCCACCACTCGTTGTCGCTGTGTCCCCTGGTAGGGGCGTTGTCGATCTGCCTGCATAGCTCCTGCGTGTGCGCGAAGGGGGCGTCCTTGGCCAGTTCGCGGAATGATCCGGAGGCGAGCTTGTCGGTGCTGACCTGAGTCAAGAAACCCGCGAGGGCGCCCAGGGTGGGGCGGAGTGGGGAAGGGCCGCGGACGGACCATTGATTGGCGTGCACAAGCCATTTGGGCCGCATGGTGGTGTCGGTCGAGTGAACGCAGAAGTGTGTGACCACGCGGGCGGCGGCGAGTCGCTTGCCTTGCCAGTGGAAGTCGTTGGAGAGGTAGTTTGGCGCAACCCTGTCGCCGTGGACCTTCTTCCGGAAGGGGCCCCTCCGCTGGTCGTCCATGATTGGGCCCAGGTCGCGGGAGAAGCCTGGGCCTGGCGTTCAGGCGGCTCCGCTCGACCTCCGCGGCGCCCTCCAGGCGATCGATGACAATGCACTTCAGTGGGGGGCCCTTGGGGGGGTCCACATGAGGTAGGAGGTTGCGCGCCTCCGCGGCCCCGTGCGTTGTGGGGGGTCTCCCGCGTTGGCCTGGGGCGGAAAGGCCGAGGGCGCCGCCAGTCTTGCTGAACGGGGCGGGTTTAGTAGCAGAGGCACGGTTGGGTGCGAGCTCGATGGGGGGCGACGGTTCGTCAGGCACCGGAGGGGCGGAGCGCGGTTTGGATGTCGGGGGGCAAGGGTAGACCAGGTGGGTGTCGCGATCGAGGATGCCGTTAACGACGCCGGGCTTGACGTCCCATGCGTGGACGAGGCGTCGGCGGCACATCCACGCGGCGTTTCACTTGCGGTTGTTCTAGGTCGCGGCACGGCTTTCCCACGTAGGGAAGTTACTCGCGCGCGTTTACCGCGGTTTCATAGCTTTTCGTGTCAAATAATGCAATGTTGGCGCGTCTGCCTGCCAGGAAAGAAGAGGGGTCCTGGGTGGGCGCCCGTCGCGCGTGGCGGTGTGGCGCTTGGATTCAGCTGCTGTGTGCCCAAATCTGTCGTCCTCTAGCCGCGCGGGCGGTATGGCGGCGTTGGCGTTCTTTGGGGCATGGAGGCCTGGGGGCTCCAGCAGGTAGCCCTCGAGGGCGCCGGGGGCCGCGGCGGGGGGCATCGCCGCGCGCGTGTGCTGGGGGGCGGCCAAGGGTATGGCATCCACGGGGGGGGCCTGGGGGGGCCCTTGGCGGGCGCGATGGCCTGCGCCTGCTCGTGGAGGGGGTTTTCCGGGGACGCTTGGCGGCCCTGCTTTTCGACCGCGTGCGCCCAGCATTGGCCGCGCAGCCATGCGCAGTGTAGCCCATTGGCATGCGCCTGCAAGCGATTCTGGGCAAGATGCGAGCGGATATAGTCGTCGAGCCAAGTGCCCTCCCAGTGCATGAGGTTGGCCACGTAGCAGTGGTCGCACTTGTGCCTGGCCGTCTCTCGGTCGGCGCTGAAGCGGGTGTCGCCAGGGGCCACGTAGCGCTGGGTCATGGTCGCGCTGGGGAGTGGGGCGGGCGGCGGCGCCCTGTCCAAGGGGATGGGCCCGAATGAGAAGCCCCCGCTGAGGAAGGACAGTTATGAAGGGCCGGCGTCGGGCCCTAAGCCGCTGTCGCTGCCTGCGAGGTCACCGCGCAGGAGGCAGTTGCTGCATTCCGACCGCAAGAGGATGCCAATGTCGGCAGGCTTCGCGATCTCCTCCAAGACCAGCGTTGGGGCCTTTAGCTTGAAGGGAACTTCTCCATCTCAGCGTAGGTAGTGGGCCAATGGGCCTCCTGAGCGATGGGGGGGTGATCCCAGGGCGATCAGGCCCTCCAGCCGGCCGCGCAGTCGACGGAGGTCGGTGGGCGTGAGCCCCCAGGAAGCCGCGAACTTGGAGCGGAAGTGGCGGTGGTCGTTCTGCCAGGGGCATCAGACGCCCAGGGCGGCTTCGAGCGCGCCCCCAGGCCCAGAGGGGTCAGGGGAGGGCCAGAGGTGAGCCCGCGGCTCGCGCTTCATGGGCAGCATGATGATCTATGATCTGGGGCCTCCGAGCGGCTCGGCCTTGGAATGGGGCCGTGGGGGTAGTTCGTTGGGAGAGATCTGGCGCTGGGGGGGCGTCCCAGGGGGCGCCCGGGCCGACGGGCCAGACCAGGGTGGCCCAAGTCATGATGTACACCAGGTTGTCCCTGCCGAGCCCGAGTCCCGCGTCGTGCATGTGCCCCAGGTGGCTCCAGGCTTTCCCGTCGAACTGCGCAGGGTCGGAGGGGGCGCCCTCGTTTTGTACTTGCGGGGGTGGGGCCCCGCAACCGTGAAGAGGGCAGCGGAGAAAGCGGGGTGGTCAGGACTTCCTCCAGCGCTGCTTCCATGCGGCGCCCGAGGTCTTCCCAGCGCTGGTCGACCTCTGGGGGGGGGGCCGAATTTTGTGTTGAAGCTCTTGGCGTGCTCGTCCCGTCTCCTGGCCGCGGCCTGGTCGATCCTGACTCTGGCGTCGTCTGCCTCGTTGGCGGCGGCGAGGGTGTCGGGCCCCGCCGGCACCCGGGAGGCGAGGTCACGGATGGGGTCGAAGGTGGGATCGGGGAGCAGCTCAGTGCGATTGCCAGGGCAGTGGCTGGGGAGGTTGCGAAACTGCACCCAGAGGCCTGCGAGGCGACCGTAGTTCGAGAGGAGCCGCAGCTTAAAGTCGGCCATGGAGGCCATCATGCGGCCGCCCGCTATGATCACGATCCCTCGCTTGGCACGTGTGAGCCCGACATTGACTCTGTTGGGGTTGTCGACGACCCCCCAAATGTGGCTGGAATTGGACCGCGTTGTGAGGAAGATGACCAAGTCTGCTTCGCCACCTTGGCTGGCGTCAACCGTGGATAATGGAGCCCGTCGCAGTCTTTCTTCAACTGCTCGGCGCTGACCCCGAAGAGACCCGCAAGGGACTCGAACTGCCTAGGGCTGAGGTCCGTCACTTTGGGCCAGGGTAGGTGAGGCACCGGGGGGCGGTCGACAAAGGGGTTGAAGAGTCCGCTGAGGAGCTCCTGTTTGTAGTATGCCTTGAAAGGGAAGAACATGAGGAACGGGCGCATACGGTACATCAGGGCCAGGGTGACTCATGCGCTCCCTTGATTTCAAGGTTGGTACCCGAGCGAGTCGTGTAGCCGCTGGAACATGGACAGGGCAAGGCCCATGCCAGCTGCCTTCTTGGACAAGACAGTGGGGGGGAGTTGTTGGGGGTCGCCGACGAGCGCGAGGTGGCCCCCGCTGCGTATAATGTGGACCAGGGACATGGCCGCGCTCCCCTCGCTCGTTTGTCCCGCTTCGTCAATGATCCCCAGTCGGAGACAAAGTGATGCTTTGCCGCTGAGCTCGGCGGCCGCTTCGTGCGTCGCGAAAACTGCCCCTGACAGCTGCACCGGGTGCTTCTTGTAGGAACTGAACACAGTGTTGTCACCGTGTTCGGGGGGGTAGGTGCCGCTAGCGCTGTGATAGTGCCCTTTTGGGGTGAGATGGATCAAGTCCTGGTCAACTTTTTCCCGTCGGGCGAGGCGAAGAAAACCGTAGGGGAAGCGGATGTCGTCATCAAGGAGGCCCTTGTCCTAGGCGGCGGAGAAGGCTTTAAGGGGTTGATCTGCGGCGGTGTTGGAGCCAGAGAAGACTCCGACGGCTTGGCCGGCGCGCAGGGTAGGTACCCACGCTGAAACCAAGGCTGCAATGGTGGTTGTCTTCCCAGAGACGGGGGGGCCGTGCACCAACGTGAGGCTCGCGAAGCGTCGACAATTCACATCGAATGTGATCTCCACTTCAGCTGCCCGTTGGCTATGGGGTAGTGCACGATGTGGATTTCGCAGTGTGAATGCACAGTGCGTTGTTGTGTAATTTTTGAAAGTGCCATGTGGGCTGTGGAGGGCCGCTGTGGAACGTAGTTGCGAGGTGCGCTTGGGACGCGGAATGGCTTGCAACACTTCATGGCTCCCCCTTGCCCTGCTCCAGACCAACCTGTCTTTGAATCGGCTTAGCGTGACTGGGACTGGCGCGAGGGTTCCAAGCCTGGAGGCAAGCCACATGGGGTCCGAATAGATGAGGTCCAAGTGTCGCGCCGCATCGCCAATGCATCGTCAATGCATTAGCGATGCATCCGCGGCGTCAGCGACGCATCGGCGCCTTCGGCGTGCAGAACATCTGGCTCCACTTCACGCCGTACCGACGGATGCATCGGCGATGCGGCGCGGTCCTCAGGCCCCATCTGCTCTTACCCCAACTTGGAGGCCTGGAAAGCCCCTCCGCTCCTTGACGGCGTCCATGCGGCCTTGATCCCTACCCTGACCCTGAGAGGAACAAACATTCATAAACAAAAAACGTCTGAGATCCGCGGGGGGTTCTTGGATCGGCGCCGCACCCCCCTCCCTGGCGCGCGGATCGCGCCGCCAGGGGGCACACCACCGATCTGAGAAACCCTCGTGGGACGCCGACAACTTTTTAGGCTTATTCAGTTTCTTGTTCCTCGAGAACCGTCCACCCCTGGACCTGCATGCAGCGGACGTGCCGCGGCTTGCCGTGGCGACGAGGGGACCTCTTTCTCTCCCCAATTCTGCTGGCCAGAACCCGTGGCGGGCCACCAATTCTGTTGCATCTGTGATGGCCCTCGTCTGTCCCATCGCGCCAACCATCCGTATCGCATCTGTCTCGAGTCTACGGAGAACGCGTCGAATCCGTGTCGAATCCGCGTCGGAATCATGTCGGATTCACTGCAAACCCTCGTCGAACCCACGTCAGAATACATGAACATCCTGCCGTTCACACGACAAGCCAATGCCCCCCGGAGATGTGAAGTAACACCTAGCCGGCTCCAAATCCCGAGGCCCTCCGCTCCTTGACGCTCTCCATGTAGCCTCGATCCCAGCCCTGCACCGTCCAGCCCTGGTCTTGCAGGCAGCGCACGTGCTCGTACTCGGAGATCCGCCGCCCCGGCTCCGGCACTGGGCACGGCACTTGGAGCGGCGTGCTCGCTCGGTTGCCCCCCGTGACGGCCGCGGGCCTCTCCCAGTCACGGGGCGCTCTCGAGCGCTCCCACGGGCACTGCTGCCTATTGGTTTTTCTCTCCTGCACAGACCACCACGGACACATTGTCCTCGTCGCAGACATGGCGCTCGCGCAGATCGGTCGGGCGGGCACAGGGAGAAGGAGGCGAAGGAGGAGGAAGAGGAGGCGAAGGAGGCGGAGGCGGAGGAGGAGGCGGAGGAGGCGGAGGAGGAGGAGGCGGAGGAGGAGGAGGCGGAGGAGGAGGAGGAGACGGAGGAGGAGGAGGAGGGAGGCGGAGGAGGACCATTGTAGAGCAACTCGTGCACTGCAAGAAAAGGGAAGCGGGCGCTGGCCGCGGAGGGAGCAACGTGCGGGTGGGGCAGGGGTTGTCCCCCCCCAGTCTCTGAGCATCGACTGATAAACTTGAGCATCATGTGAAGATAGGTCAGAATCTCGGTCCTGGCAAGATATTTGCGTAGACAACGAAGCACAAGCGTGAGGGACCGGTTTCCGCCGCAGTTTGCCTCAGAGGCCCCACAGAGAGCCGCGCTGTCAGCAGACTGCGCATTGTACTACGGTGGTGGGCCTAGGAATGTCATTGTGGGAGGAAGGCGGCCCCCTCAAAACCGTCTGTAGGTCTTGTAGCGGCGTGCCCACCACGCACGCGAGCAGCCATCGAAGAGGTCGATGCCTGACCAGACCAAACAACACTGCACAAACATTAATCGTCGGAGCTCCGCGTGGATTTCTTGGAAGAGTTCTCTGCCTAGAGTGGCCGAATTTCATAGCTGTGGCTTCTGGCGCTGCTCTTCTGGAGGCCCAGGAGCCGCCGTGGTCGGGAATGCAGGCCTCTGTCATTTTGGAGTCGTCAACTCCTGAGAAACCTCCGTTAGAACGGTTCAGGGCTACCTATCCCAATCAAAAGCCATCGCAGCTGGATTGGCCCAGATTAAGCCAACGGTTAGGCTGGATTAAACCAGATAAAGCGGGATGTGCCAGATTGGGCCAGACGGCTATACCAGCGCCGACGCCGAGTTCAACCTCCCATGAGCTGCGTCCTAACATCATGGCCGAAGGTGGCCTCAGGGGTCCGCCTTGGGCCCACCTTGGGGATGTTCGGGGCCGTCCTGGGAGCCCCCAGGGGGCCAGCACGGGATGCACGATGCAAAGACCATGCCTTCGCGCGCCTGTTTCTATTTACTGCTCCTCTTGCCCCTCCGGGCCTCGATGGCGTTCGAAACTGCCCTGGGAGGCCCACGAGAGCCCCCAGACGGCCCCCCCAGCGCCCCTAAGAGGCACCAAAGCGGCGGAGCACAGTTGCGAGTGTGCTGGAGCCTCCCCCCCCCCCTCCGAGACGGGGCCCGACGACCCCAAGAGGCCCCCCGAAGAGGACCCCCGGGGCACAGAAGACCCGAAGAGGCCCCCCCAAAGAGGCCGCCAAGCGCCTCCCAAGAGGCCCCCACCAGAAACTCGCAGCATTCCCAAGCATGCCCCTGGAAGCTCTCCGTAAAGTCTCTCCCGGAACATGCGTGGAGACACGCTGCCGCTTTCGACAGCTCCCGCTGCGCCTTGGACCCAGAGCCCAGGCATGGTGGCGGGACAGGCCGAAGGCCGATGGATATCGAGCATCTTCTGGAAGTCGCGGATTAGATTCTTCTCCTTCTCATCCTCAAGCGTGTGCTCTGCCATTCTTCGTTTGCCTTGTCGCCTTTGTCCCCGCATCCTCATCCGACTTGAACTGCGCTCCATATACATATGTTCGGCTTTCTGTCTCTGGTTTTCCCACCTCCTCTTCCTCTTCCTACTCCTCCTCCTCCTCCTCCTCCTCCTCCTCCTCCTCCTCCCCATCACTTATACAGCGCGTCCCCCCGACATCCGACACGCGAACAAACCACGGCGTCGTGACGAAAGCGCGACCGAAACTACCGACCCATTCTTTTCAAATCTTTTTGTCGAGCTGGATCGCTTCTGGAGGGGACCCAGACCACGAATCAAGGCAAACCAGCCCGTTGTGCTTTTCCACGACGCCCAACTCTTAGAGTTGGGACTCACCTTGCGAGCTGCCTTCGTCCTCCTTGGACGATCCCGCGTCTCTCGCTGGCTCGGACGGCCAGTTGAGACACCCGCGGCAAGCCGAAAGAGGAGGAGGAGAAGGAGGAGGAGGAGGAGGAGGAGGGAGGAGGAGGGAGGAGGGAGGGGTCAAGAATAAGAGGATGAGAAGGGAGGAGGAGAACTGAGCAGGAGTAGAAAGGAATACTGAGGAAATACTTGATCTGACACTCGCGTTCACGGCGTCAACCGGACGACTCGCGATCGGGTGGACAGAACAGGGCAGCAGGACATGAAAGAAAACGCTCGCGGGCGTTACGCACAGCGCCGCGCAAAGAAGTCGAGCCCGCCGCGGAGACCTCAGGACGTGCCAGGCGTGGTCTGAGCGTCAGTGCGGAGAGCTGGATACGCAGCTAATGTGATTGGCAACTCTCGCTGGTGTAACTTGGTGGGATTGCATCCTCTTTGCGGTGAAGAGGCACGCCGTGGCATTGAAACGGCCGTGGGGTGGAGTCCCTGCTGGGCTCAGTGTCTGGCCGTGGGTGGGCTAGGCCACTCGAGGGTGCAGGGTGAGTATGCGCTAGTGAGCTAGTGCTAGAATCGTGTGACCCTCATTGGCATTCCCTTCGGGAGCTTGTGCTACTATGCGGGTTGCAAAAGACTGGGCGCAGAAGCCCACATGAGGCCGACAATGATCGTACGGCCGTTTGGGCCACCATTTCCAAGAAGGCGGTCGGGTTCATCTGTGGGCACGCTGGGCCGAACAGAGTGTGGCAACGTGTATGTATGTATGTATGTTTATATATATATATATATATATATATATATATATACATGAGCTGCAGATGCTGGCCGCAGATACGGAAGCTATCTCCCTAGACAAAAGCATGCCTAGCCTCGAAACATCCGCACGAGGGGCACCATGGAAATGTTCCCGGCCAACTGTGCAGCAGACGAATTGCGTGTCTCGTTGGACAGCTACTGGGCGTCTCCGGTTGCGTGACTACTGCCTTCAGCGTGTGGTAAAGCTGCCCACGAGCAGCACTTGTTCGGACTGATGTGGGCCTCGGTGTGGCCGTGGTGCACCACAGCAACTAAGTGGCCGCTGGGTGGGGAGCGTCTGCCTGCCAGGGTATGCAAGCAGAGCTGTCCATCGCCGAGACAGCCTGCCAACAGTGCCATTTCCAAGGAGCAGTGAGAGGGCTGAAGACGACAAGGTTCAGAAGGACTTTTGAGGTATCGGCATGATGATGATGCTGATGACGATGATGATGATGCTGATGATGATGATGGTGGTGATGATGATGGTGATGGTAATGGTGATGGTGATGGTGGTGATGGTGATGGTGATGCTGATGCTGGTGCTGATGCTGGCGATGATGATGAAGATGCTGCTGCTGCTGATGATGATGATGATGATGATGATGATGATGATACTGATGATGATGATGATGATGATGATGATGATGAGGAGGAGGAGGAGGAGGAGGAGGAGGAGGGAGGATGAGGTTGACAACCATCAAGCAGAGTTCGACTCTGCCCAGCTCTACACTCGCACTGAGCGATGGCAAGCAGCAGCACGCTCGTAAGAGGGAAGGGACGCCCGCCGCTACCCCGTGCTTCCGCTGCTGCTGCTGTTGCCTTCCTTGCGCTACACTGTCTGCGGGCTTCCCGCTGGAGGCGTTATATGGACCCGCCCAGTGCAATATGCTACCCCCCTCAGAGTCTGACATCCATCGGTGCTGTGGGCATCCGACAAACAAGCTAGATGGCTGTTCCCAGGCAAGCAGCGCTGATCACTCGAAGAGTGGGCCCCGCACCTCGCACATGCGAGGTAGAAGGCCCCCTCACTAGCGAGGAAAAGAAACATGGAGGGGCTGCGCCCCCTCCATAGGCCCTTGCACTGAACTTGACAATGGACTGCTGTGGCCTGGCAGGCCAGCCGGCTTCTGAGCTGTCGCGCTGTCCCTACAGACCCGCGCCAGACAGCGGGAACGCACACCCATGTTGTTGGCCTCCAAAGGTCGGGAGCGGCAAAGAGGGGGGGGTCAAAGAGGGGGGGGTGCAAATCATGACCGGCGGCATGTGCGCGGCCCAGCGGGGGGCCCAGGGACGTAATGAAACAAGAAGAGACGCCATGAAATCTGGGGAATATCATGGCCCCCGCCATGATATCCACCCCCCCCTAGTCATCACCCCCCTCTTTGCCGCCCCCGAAGAGGCCAGGCGTGGGCGAGAGACACTCGCGTCCCCCTCCCTCCCGGGCTGGGGAACGACGGCGACCACGAGGCCCCCGCGGACGAGCAGGAGGAGGCGGAGATGGAGCGGCCGCCGAGCCAACGGCGGCCTCGCCCTCGACAGGCTGCGCCACGATGGCTCGAGCAGGACGCACACCTCTCTGGATGTTGACCCCGAATTTCGAGACCCCTCTTGAACTCCGTGTTGTTAACACGTGCGGTTGCTTAACTATGGCCGCAAAGTGACAGCCCTACCTACACACGCCATGAATGTCTTCCCGTTCAAAATCGTTCTCGTTCGCATTGGCGACAATGCGTATAGGCCGCCTGCTTGACCCACCCGTTCGCATGGGAATTACCGAGTGCGCTGAAGCGCTCGTCCGTGCAGGCGCATAAAGGGTCTGCATCACGTCATCGTTGGCACCTAGCTTCCTAGCCGCTTCTCGATGCGTCCGTTCCCTTCACGCTCCCTGCAACAAGGAGGAAACCAACAACGATAATATGGAAATAGGAGGATGGGTGGCACCGCTGGGGTTCCCGACGGCAGAATGGAATTCGAATTCCAAGCCTATCCTTGCCAATGCCAGCATCGCAACTCCGAAGGGGCCTCGTACTGAGCACCACTTCTGGGGAGGGTCCCGCAAAGTCGCAGACGCCAAGCTAATCAGCCTTGGACGCCATCGCGAGACGTGCAGCCTGGTGAGCGTTCGCGCTGCCTTCCAGACAATGGTCGTCTACGTAAGGGCTGGGGCCAACGCGGCGCGCGAGAGCGGGTTTTGAGGGGGGGATGAGGGCGAGGGTGCGAGACCGAATCCGAGCTCTAAGCCCTGCAACTTTTCAGAATTCACCCTGCAACCTGGTCAAATCGAGGCTGTCCGCTCCCGTGACCTCCGCACCAAACGTGAGCCGTTCTCAAGGCCCCGCGAGAAACAACTTGAAGGAGCGGCGCAGTTCGCACTGATGGCGGGGTCGGTCACCCCCGCCTGCCCCTCCCATCGGCCCACCAAGATGCCTCGGGAAGCCCTGGCGCTCACCCGGGAGGGTGCGGTGTTCTTCCCGCAGCTGGAGCGCCCAACGTGCCCTCTAGTACCCTGTGGGGCGGAACGAAGCAATGGCTCCCGTGTAGCAGCATATGCACATTACATGCGGTTGGGAACTGATGCTTAGCGTGTCGCGGCGGCGGCCTAAAGCGACGCGCTGTGCTTTGCGAGCGGATAGCGTGTTGCTCCGCTCCGCGGGGCGGGAGTCGGGGAAACAAATTAGGAGCCATCGTAACGGGGACGTGGACAACGTATCGCGCCGAAGTGTGGTGGACCACAACCACCGCCGCAGCACGCTAGGCCAAAGCCCCTGACCGTAGAACAATGGCGACGGCGACCCCCTTCCTTCAAGAGGGGGCGGAGCAGAAATCAGGGTCGTGCGCGACCCTGCTAACCCGAGGCGTGCGCGCCGCCAGCCCAAGTGTGCGCGCGGTGGGGAACTCCACGGGCCCCGCTTTGGGGGCTTCGTTTTGAGCGCACGGCTGTTCAAAAATATGGGTCGATGCGAAAGTCACCCTCTGCCTCGACTGCTCCAGCACGGGAAGGGCGAGGACGAGGAGGAGGAGGACGAGGAGGAGGAAGAGGAGGAGGAAGATGACGAGGAGAAGGACGCGGAGAAGGACGATGAGGACGCGGAGGAGGACCTGGAGGGAAGGGGGAGGAGGAGGAGGCGGAGGAGGAGTGGAGGAGGAGGACGGGAGAGGAGAAAGAATGGGATGCAACGAAGGAGGCACAACAACGTCACCAACAGCTGCACATCCGCCCTGGTCCTACACAGGATGCAACAGAGCGCTTGATATCCACGTTGCTATGTGTCAGGACGTCGAGACCAGTTGGCCTTTGGCCGAAGCCAGTGCTGCGTTGGACGTCCTGCTCACACTTGCTATTCGAGGAGACCCGAACCGAGCGAAACACATATGACATACCCGCATGCGTTATAGCAAACACTCCCTCCCCCTCCTCCTCCTCCTCCTCCTCCTCCTCCTCCTCCTGACCCCTCCTCCTCCTCCCCAGCCTCTCCCGCCTCCCCTCTGTCCTTTCCCCTCCTCCACCACCTCGCCATCACCATCACCATCACCCTCCTCCTGCTCCTCCTGCCTCTGCTTCCCCACCTCTTCTGGGTCCTGCCCCCGCTTTCCCCTCCCTCCCCCACCCTCCAGTCTGGGACCCCGCGCATGGACTCTCGGAACGCTCGGACCAAAGACGCGAGCGGCGGGTGCTCCCTGAGGCCTCCACCCGTGATGCTTGCAACGCCGAGTCCAGGCGGCCGTGCAAGCACGACACGCTCCCGCCTACGAAAGAGCTGGTGCTGCCCAGCCCCGAACACGGACACCGCAACTGGTACGAACGGCAAGACTCCGCTTCGCTCTCGGACAGGCCCGCCGGCGCCTCCGCTCTACGGCCACCGCGCTGCCACAGGGAGCGCTGACGGAACGAGGCGGCTTTCTCTGGCCACGACGAGCCCGGGCCGCGAAGAAGCTCTCTGACTCGGATCCCAGGGAAAGCGGCCCGATAAAAACGGAGCCCCTCCCGAGGCCAAGGTGATCCCTCTCTCGGCATCTTCCCTGTCCGCGTGCTCCTCCTTCCTTCGGCCCCTCTCGTTGTTCCTCTCCCCGCCCCTCCCCACCTCCACACCCCGAGCAGCTCGACAGAATCGCTGCTAGTCGTCTGGAGGCCAGGCCGCCGACGACAGGCCAAGCTCGCAACCACCCGTGCTGCGGACCTGCGGCGCCGAGCGCCATGGCAGGGCACTCTCAGTCTCGGCCTCCAGGCGCGCTTCGCCACCTCATGTGTCAGCTACTCAGAGGACGCAGACGGACATACTCGTACTATGTGCTAATGTTGGCGGCGCACGTCGGACACGAACATAGAGTACAGTCGAAACGCTGTCATGAGGAAGTCTGCACAAGGAGCGAGGCCCCGTTTCTCCGTAAATTAAACTTTGACTTCGAAGAGAAAACCGGAGGAACATCCAAGACAAGCTGCAACACACTTGAGGAACACTGACCCCTCCTCAACGAAAAGGGTTCCTTCTTCAGCGGCCCGACTGTTTGCAACTACTATCGTGGATGGTCTCCCGAGCGGTACGACAAGACGGCGCCCGCCACATAGCTTAAGGTACACTGCAAGATTTGTGAGCGCGTTCGTTGCCCTCGCGCACATAGTATAAGCATGCTTGGACGGTGCCGAACTTGCCTTCTTGGGGTACGAAGGAGACTTCTCCTCCTCCTCCTCCTCCTCTTCTTCCTCCTCCTCCTCCTCCTCCTCCCCCTCCCTCCCTCTTCCCCTCCCCCCACATCCCCATCGTCCTCCCCCTACTCCTCCTCCCCCTCCTCCTCCTCCTCCGGCCTGCTCAGACTACGGACAATCGTCCCAATACGGTCGGGAACGTTTGCTCAGCGTGTCGCGGCGGCGGCCCGGGCGACACGCTTTGCCTTGCAAATGGATTGAGTGTCGCTCCGCTCCGCAGGGCGGGAGGCTGGGATCGGCTCGGGACGCCGATGCCTGGTGGCTGGGACGTGGATAGCGTGACGCGCCGAAGCGTGGTGGGCCAGAGCGGCCGCTGCCGCCGCAACACGCTAAGCCAACGTTCCTGACCGTACCTCCTCCGCCTCCTGGTCCCGCCCCCGCGGTGAGCTTCTGTGGAAGGCCAGGAGGGTTCGCCGGTGCGCACCGACACCGATAAGGGCAGCGGGCCGCGCGCGGGGTCCACAAAGCCGTCGGCGATGACGGCGACCAGCACGGCCTCCGAGGGCAGGCGCGGCGGCGACAGTCGACCGACGGTGTGGGCCAACGCGGGGGGGGGAGAGGGAGCGAGGGGGAGAGAGAGAGCGCGCAACACTTCCGACCAGGTCTGACCCACGGGCGGGGCTAAAAGTGCCCCTGCCCGCACTTCCATGGCGGGAGGAGGAGGAGGAGGAGGAGGAGGAGGAGGAGGAGGAGGAGGAGGAGGGGGCGGAGGAGGAGGATGCGGAGGAGCCGCTTGTAGAAACGGGGGTAATGAAAAACCTCCCCCTGGCGCAGTCGGGAAAAGACTGTGACTGGAAAACAACGAGTGCGGCGATTCGGGAGCAGAACTCCCAAAAGAGAGAGGGGACGAAATATACCGATGCGGGCGACAGTTAGTCCCAGTGCCGCGGCTGCCAACGCCGCGCGCGCGCGCTGAATTCTTCTGGCCAGGGCGGGAGACTAGCGAGGACCCCAGGCCCCCCCATCGGCGCTCGCGGGTAGCACGCGACAGTTGAAATGGACGGCGGCCCGGCCACAATGCAGTGCTCCGAACTGGGGGCCACGGTGGGCAACATGGGAAAGCGAGAGGATGTAGGCGGGCTGAAGTCCGTCCGCGGGCCAAGGCTACAAGCACCTCCTGCCCGCACCTCTTCGGTGAGAGGTGCCGCATGTAGATGGCAGGGGCGCTCGCTTGGGGAGGGGGTCAGCGTCTGCTCGCTCTGCGGGCTGGAACTCGCGGTCCCGGATGGCGTCGCCTGTCGCATGCTCTCGCAGCCCGCCCGCGGCCACCGTCTTGGGAGCGTCTGCCGCCTTCACGCACAGGCTCGGACGGCGGTACCAGGGGAGCAAGGGAGCGCCCAGGTCGCGTATGCCCTGGCACGCTGGGAAGGATGCCAGGACTTGTCCGTCGTACTTGGGCGGGCCAGTGCGTGCCACGTAGGGCCGCGGTGGACCCTGGGAAGTGCTCCCACGCGGACCTCAGGTTATCGGCCCTGGCACCCTCATTCCTCCTCCTGGCCTAGGTCTCCGTGGGCCAGGCGACGACACGACGTTTGCCAGGGCGGCCCCATTGCCATCCCAAGGGAAGGCGTCAAGCACCCCGATGTCTGGGATGGTGCGGCCGTGCACCATTTTCAGGAAGGCGATGTAGGTACCGTGGTCCCCACACCAAGTGTCGGTTTTCCTTGCCTCCGCATCCAGGACCCTGTGCTGCTCTGCTCCTGGACGAAGTCGTGTCGCGCCTCGTCGATACCGGGTGTAGCCGCCTGGAGTGGTCCACCATGACATGGGCGATTGTCTTATCCTCGTGGCCATGTCTGGTGACTGGGTCGATCTGGCCGGCCGGGGCCAGGGTGTCCAGCGAGCGGTCCGCCAAGGCTGGGCATCCGGGCGGTGAAGGGGATCCAGCTATGGGATACACGAGGGGGGGTGTCCATCCTCAGTAGGGGTGCGCCCGAAGTTCGAATAGGCCCCCAGGGGTGTATCCCTCAGGTTCCCTCGTTTTTTGAGCGGCCAATTTCTGTCAGGCAGAACTCGGGGATTTGGATCGAAAAGCCGCGTGCGAACTCTGACAGCAGGCGACGCCAGAAAGGTAAAAACATGACTTTTGGGAGGTCTTCGCAAGAACGACGAAAAACGATCAAAACCCGATCAAAAACCATCAAGCGGGAGCCGGACTGCGTCGGACTAGGCTGGATCAGGCGGCACCCTGCCCGATAGGCCGGCTTTCGGACAGGGCTATATCAGCGCCGATGCTAGCGAAAGGTAGCCTCCCAGGAGTTAGAGTTACAACCCAATGGGGAGGGAAGCAGGGATGACGTGGCAAGCCGGGCGGCAGAGTCCAACGACAGACAGCAAGACCGCTTGCGCTTGGACCGCCAGCGGTGACCGCAGAGCGCCGACGCGGGCGCCGTGGCGATGGCCGCCGCCGCGGAAGAGGTGGGGAACTGGGCCCCCGCGGAGGAGCGCCCGTCCCCGCGAGAGGCCGGGGTGTCCACTCGAAGAGGGGGGGAGAGAGGGCAAGGGGGCAAAGGGGAGGAGGAAATGAAGGGGAGGAGGGGAAAGGGAAGAAAAGGGGAGACGACGGGGGAAAGGGAGAAGAGGAGAAGGGTGGGGAGAACGAGAGAGAGAGAGAGAGAGAGAGAGCGAGGGGGGCGGAGGGAGAGATGAAGAGATGGGAGAGGAAGCGGGTACGTACACGGGGATGGGGGCTAGAAGGCATCGACGGTGCGCAGCCTGGTAGCGCTCCAGCTGGTTCTTGCGCTCCTCCGTCTGCAGCCCTGTGAGCAGCTCCCCGTACAGCATGGAGTAGAAACTGCCCTGTGGCGCGGAAAGTGTCGGCGGACACACCGCTCCCCATCCCATCTGCTGTAGGGGTGTACACTGGCCTGCTTGCACGCCCAGCGCGGTGCGCACGACACACCACTGCTGAGGTCAACGAGGCCTGGAAACTCTTGAGCGGCGGCCTCTCAGCGCCAATGGGGAGGAGGAGGAGGAGGAGGAGGAGGAGGAGGAGGAGGAGGAGGAGGAGTAGGAGGTGGAGGCGGAGGAGGAGGAGGAGGAGGAAGCGGACGCGGAGGCGGAGGCGGAGGAGGAGGCGGAGGAGGCGGAGGAGGAGGAGGAGGAGGAGGAGGAGGAGGAGACTGAGGAGGAGGAGGAGGAGGAAGAGGAAGAAAACGCCTGACTGCATCACAGGATGCGCTCAAGCAGGCCGATACGACTTCACCCCACATCGTGTCGGTGGCGTTGGGAGGCCACGGAAGAGCCAGAGAAGCGGGCATCTGGTCGGGAACTCTTGCTTGGCGTGCCGCGGCGGCGGCCCCGTTGACACGCTGTGCCCCGCGAGCTCACCGCGTGTCGCTCCACTGCGCAGGACGGGAGGCCGGGACAAATGCTCGTGACGCTAACGTGCTCGAGGACTGGGACCTGCTCAGCGGCGCCGCGTTGAGGCGTGGTGGGCCACAGCTGGTGGCGCGCAAAGCTGATCAAACGCGCGTGCCTGTGGTCTCCTCCCCCCCACCACGTCCAGGGGCCGTGAGAAGTCACGGCGGGCTTCCCTGCCCAGCTTTGGCCCTGGAACGCTTGTGGGAGTTCAGGAAAACAACAAGGGCACATACATGAACTTTCGAAGTTCCCCGCGGACGTCTTCGATCGACGCTGGAACCACCTCTGCCTGGCGCGCGGAGCGCGCCAGGGGCGGCGTCGGAGGCGCCGCCAGAGAGGGTCCAGCGCCGATCCAAGAAGTTCGCGCGGATCTCCGGCAATGTATGTGCATGCCGTTGTTCTTCTTCGAAGCTTGCCCTGGCTCGAAAGACGTCCGCCACAGAGGTGGGGGGGGCGAGGGCGCCCGTCGTGACTTCTCGCGATGTCGCGTTTTCTTTTCTTGTTCACGCGCGCTGGATGCTGTCAAACCCTGCCCTTCCATCGCACAACACGTGGTCAAAATAGACCCCACCCCTCCCGTCCTGTCAGCTTCCCTCCCTCTCGTATTATCCGTGGGCGGGTCCTCCTCTTACTCCTCATCGTCGTCCTCCTCCTCTTCCTGCTCCTCATTCTCCTCCTCCTCATCATCAGCATCATCATCGCAAGAACTCATCATCGTCACACGTATCATCAATGTCGTCGTCGTCAACGACATCATCATCAGCACCATCATCATTATCAACATCATCATGACCACCGCCATCACTACCACCATTACCATCAGCATCATCACCATCATCATCAGCATCAGCATCATCCATCACCATCACCATCATCATCAACATCATCATAACCATTGTCATATTCATATCCTCCGACCTCTCCCTAAACCACCCATCAGCAACCTAACGTTGACTTGCCACCTCCACTGGTTCAATTGAGGATCATGAGGGGGCGCAACAATGCGACGCACGACCAACATGCCATGTTCAACATGGTCGGCCCACGAACCAGGAAAGCGATTTAGAACTGCGAGGCATGGGAACGTTTCCAAGCACCTCAATTGGGCGACGGGCAGTGGCACTGCTGAAGACATTAGTGGTGGTGGTACTGCGCTAGGGGCGGTGTTGTGCTGCTCTGCGCTGTCCCGCGCCGCATAGTGACGTGTCGAGGGACGCGCCACGGAACGCAGCAATTGACGTGCTAAGGAACGTGCCAAAGGACACACCGCGCGATCTGCCAGGGGGACGCTCCACTGGACCTGCCCGAACTGCTTTGGATCTCAAGCTCAAGCTGCCTGAGGGCCCAACTCGCCCAGAGCTGGCTCAAGTCGAAGGTTGCAGAAGAAACCATCAACTCGAACGCAAGATCCGATTCAGATTTGGACTTTCAACACATACTGCGCCGCGCAATCTGCGCTGCTCTGTGCTGCGCTCTGTCGTGCCGTGCGTCGAGGCATCCACGGCGCCCCATCCTGGCCGAACTGATCTGAATATCAAGCTCAAACTCCCCGAACGCACGTTTCGCCAGAGACTGGCAGCTATCGAAACTTGCGGTGCGCTCAACTAGCTCGAGCTCAAGATCCGATTCGGTTCCGGGACGTGGCGAGCCCCAGGAGAGGGGCAAGTTACACATGAATAGAACACATTGCGTTAGGATTCGAGCATAAGGAGAGACATTATGGGAATATGCATAAAGCACGGAGGGCTCGAGCCCCGGGGAGAGGGGCAATCTATAGGACTATGCGTAGAACATCTTAGGATCCGAGCTCCAAGAGAAAAACAAGCCATAGGAATACGCGTGAAACAACATGAGTCCGGCCCCAGGAGAGGGGCAACCCATAGGAGCACAAACAAACCCAAAGCACAAATAAACCCAAACACATCGAACCTCAGAAGACAACACAATGCATAGGACACGTAAAACGTAAAGGATTCGAGCCCCAAAAGAAGGGCCATATATACGTAAAACACTAAGGGTTCGAGCCTCAGGAGAGGGGGGCAATATAGGACTATACGTAACGCACAAGAGGATCCGAGCCCCAGGAGATGAGCAACCTGTAGGAATCTACGTAGAGCACGAAGGATTCGAGCGAGAACGATAGTATGCCAAGGGCTGTGGTGTGCTGCTCTGCGCTGTGCCGCGCAAGGGGGCGCGCCACGGAACGTGCCAGCGAGACGTGCCAGAAGAAGTGCCAGGGGACGCGCCGCGCGATGTGCCAGGAGAACGCGCCACGGGACGCTCCACGGAACATGCCAAGGGGACGCGCCACGAACGTGCCAGCGGACGCGCAACGGGACGTGCCAAGGAACGTTCCGCGCGATGTGCAAAGGGGACGCGCCACGGAACGTGCCAAGGAGACACGCCACGGAACGTTCGCTCGGGATAGGGTCCGCTCGGGGGCGTGAGGAACCCATCAATGCTCACACTTGTCCCGCTCTGGGGCGTTCGGAACCGACATGTTTTCACGAGTTTCCCGCTGGGGGGCATGAGGAATCCACGCGCACTCACGCTTGTCACGCTCTGGGGCGACATGGGCCCACGTGTTTTCACACTTGTTTCGCTCTTGGAAATTAGGAACACATGTGTTTTCACGCTTGTCCCGTTCTAGGGCGATAAAACCCTCGTCTTTTCACAGTTTTCCTGCCTTGGGACGTTCGGAGCCAATGTGTTTTCACGCTTGTCCTGCCCTCGGGCGTTAATAAACAACATGTTTTCACGCTTGCTCCGGTCTGAGGCGTTGCACAAGATCCCCCCCCCCCACACACTCTCTCTCTCTCTTTCTTTCACGTGTCCTGCTCTGGGGCGTTCGGAGACCATGTGGTTTCACGCTTGTCCCGCTCTGGTGCGATAGAGGCCCACGTGCTTCCATGCTTGTTCCGCCATGGGACGCTACGAACCCATGTGTTTTCACGCTAGTCCCGCCCTTGGGCGTTAGTCGCCCACGTGTGTTCACGCTTGCCCCGCCATAGGGCGTTAGGAACCGAACTGTTTTCACGCATGTCTCGCCCTGGGGCGTTATGAACCTTAGTGCGTTCACGCTTGTCCCACCGTCGCACCATGGGGCGTTCGGAACTCATTTGTTTTCTCGCTTGTCCCGCTGCATGGCGTTAGGAATCCACGTGTATTCACGCTTGCCCCGCTTTGGGACTTGAGGAGCCGATGTCTCTTCACGCTTGCCCCGCTAAGGGGTGTTAGGAGCCAACGTGCTTCAAGCTCGTTCCGCTCTGGGGCGTTGGGAACCTAAATGTGTTCACGCTTGTCCCGCCCTGGGGCGTTAGGAGCCCATATGCTTTCAAGCTTGTCCAACACGTATTTTCACGATAGTTCCGCCCTGGGGCGGTAAGAACTTACGTGCTTTCACGCTTGTTCCACTGTGGGCCGTTCGGAACCTGACTGTTTTCGCGCTTGCCCCGTCTTGGGGCGGATGAGAACCCATGTGCTTTCACGCTCGTCCCGCTCTGGTGCGTTAGGAACCTATGTGTTTTCACGCTTGTCCCGCTCTGGGGCGTTCGGAACCTAAATGTTTTCACGCTTGTCCCGCGCTGGTGCGTTTGGAACCTATATGTTTTTACACTTGCCCCGCCATGGTGCGTTCGGAACCGACGTTTTTTCAGTAGTTTCTCGCTTGGGGGCATGGGGAATCCACGTGTGTTCACGCTTGTCACGCGCTGGGGCGACATGGGCCCACGTGTTTTCACACTTGCTTCGCTCTGGAGAGTTAGGAACACATGTGTTTTCACGCTTGTCCCGCTCTGGGGCGATAGAGACTCACGTGGTTTCACCCTTTTCCCGCCCTGGGACGTTCGGAACCTAAACATTGTCCCGCCCGTCGCACCCTGGGGCGTTAGGAACTCACATGTTTTTACGCTTGTCCCGATCTAGGGCGTTAAGGACTCACGTGTTTTCATGCTTGTTCCGTTGTGGGGTGGTCGGAACTTACGCGTTTTGAGGCTTGCTCCGCTGTGGGGCGTTCGGAACCTGACTGTCTTCACGCCTGTCCCGCCCCTGGGGGGGTGAGGAACCTATCTGTTTTCACGCTTGTCCGGCCGGGGGCGCCAGGGACCCTCGTGCTGCCGCGCTGGGCATCCTGGGGCGCCGAAGCCCGCCAAATTAGGCACAACAAGTGGTGCGCTCGAGACATCCTGGAGCTGTCTTCGCGCAGGATGCGCCATCCTCGAGCGGGCACGCGCAGCGCTAGCATTTGCACTTTTACTGTACAGTTATAAGGCTTCCAGACCTCGTTATTCATCCGGGGTTCTAAACAACACGCGGAATCCACCTCGATCGGAAGCGGGATGGGGGCACACTTTCCTCGAACGGGCACGCGCGAAACGCACTTTCTGAAACGACATGAGACTTTACCTTGATAGTTGTCGCAACCAAATTCTGCCAAC